TGTGTGTTTTCTTGAATTTTCTCTGCTGATGAAGTGTCTTGACAAGAGATCAGTCCTATGTTGCTGCAAGTAAGATTGGCTATGGTAGGTGCCATTTTTATTTCATTGCAACCACACCCACATCAATGAAAATATTTCATTAGAATGTTACCGCATTAGATCATTGATTTTTAAATAGATTGTGCACACATGGGGTGTGACCAGAATAGGCGTGACTGGAGACGTACGTACATACATACATACATACATACATACATACGGAGGGAGGGAGGGAGACTTCGCCTGAGTGGGGCGAGCTTATGCTCGCCCCAATTATTACTAGGCGAATGTAGAACATTGAAGGGGCGAGCACAAGCTAGCATGGCAATATACAATGTTTAGATGTCACAAAGGCTAATGTTGTTGTCATGTAACTTGAATGATACACATGCAGAGCCGCTCAGAACTTGTGACTTGCATACATGAAAGGAAATTTTATAGCTTGCTCTTCTAGCTTTATTAGCAGTGAAGAATCTCAGTTGTAACTTTAATAAGTATAATTTAATTTTTACTATGATATTTTCAAGCACAGTACTTTAAGACTTCTTTTCTCTGATGAGCCATTTGAAGTGCTTTATTCTGTCATTCAACCATAATTAATAAAAACTTGAAGATTTGTGTGAGTTTTCTTAAATTTTCTCTGCTGGCGAAGTGTCTTGACAACAGATCAGTCTTATGTTGCTGCAAGTAAGATTGGCTAAGGTAGGCGCCATTTTTATTTCATTGCACTCATAGTACCACACCCACATCAATGAAAATATTTCATTGGAATGCTACCGCATTAGATCATTGATTTTTAAATAGAGAGTTGTGCACACATGGGTGTGACCAGAATAGGCGTGACTGGAGACGTACGTACATACATACATACATACAGACGCTTTCTCGCCTTAGTGAGGCGAACTCAGGCTCGCCCCAATAACTAGGCGAATGTAGAACATTGAAGGGGCGAGCACAAGCTAGCATGGCAATATACAATGTTTAGATGTCACAAAGGCTAATGTTGTTGTCAAATTGTAACTTGAATGATACACATGCAGAGCAGCTCAGAACTTGTGACTTGCATGCATGAAAGGAAATTTTATAGCTTGCTCTTCTAGCTTTATTAGCAGTGAAGAATCTCAGTTGTAACTTTAATAAGTATAATTTAATTTTTACTATGATATTTTCAAGCACAGTACTTTTAGACTCTCTTTTCTCTGATGAGCCATTTGAAGTGCTTTTATATTCTGTCATTCAACCATAATTAATAAAAACTTGAAGATTTATGTGTGTTTTCTTGAATTTTCTCTGCTGATGAAGTGTCTTGACAAGAGATCAGTCCTATGTTGCTGCAAGTAAGATTGGCTATGGTAGGTGCCATTTTTATTTCATTGCAACCACACCCACATCAATGAAAATATTTCATTAGAATGTTACCGCATTAGATCATTGATTTTTAAATAGATTGTGCACACATGGGGTGTGACCAGAATAGGCGTGACTGGAGACGTACGTACATACATACATACATACATACATACATACGGAGGGAGGGAGGGAGACTTCGCCTGAGTGGGGCGAGCTTATGCTCGCCCCAATTAATTATGATCTTAATCAGCTCAAATTATCTACACAAAATAAGAACATTTATACGTATATTATGGGCAAAAATTTGCTAATTTTGCAGAGCAAAAGCCATGCATGAACCAAAGGGACACTTGGATCCCCTTTTAAAAATAATAAAATCAGTTTTAAACTATAATAAAATTGTATACAAATTGCTAAATTTATCTTTCTATGCTATCATTAAAATCTATGTGAAAAGGCTATACACATACATGTTCATGCATCACATTCAAATTACATAACTACAATGTAGATTTAATATGTGTTATTTTTATGATAATTAAATTACTACTATCAACTAGCAATACTGACTTCATACGTATAGATGTGAAAAACAAACTCACAACCAGTACTTTAAAAATCAATTGCTGAAGTAGATATTATTAATTAAAAGTTATTATTGTAGTAACATGCTGAACTTTCACTAAATTCAAACATGCATGCACTTTAGTGCTCTCATTATTACAAATGCACTTGTGTATTAATAAAGATTTATGCCAAGTGCTTCATTGCTATCCATAGTCTTTCATCAATTCTTAGTATACCCTTATGCTACTCTGAAAATTACAGGATTAAAGTTTAATATTACGCTACATAGAGTACAATACAAATTAAAGACTAGAAATAGAATCCCAAGCTTATTGTTTGAAAGTTTACGGTAGTAAAACTTAAATATGGCTTGCACTATTTGGAACCTGAGGGCAAAGCCCAAGGAGTTTGGGCACATACAAACATGGTGGTTTAACTGATTTAAAGTGACCACAAAGTGCTAATTGTGCATACTACCATAATGGGTAATTTTTAAGGGTTAAAATAAATTTAGATGTTGATATATACTGCCTATATATTGGAAAAGGAACTAGCAATTCTAAATGTAGTATGCCTCATTGCTATGAAAAAATTAACATGATGCAAAATATACCGGGTTTACGGTGGTTTTTGCCAAATTTACCAAAATTTTTACTCTACTAAATTTTTTTAGCTAGATGTACATGGTATACTGCACTTCTACATGACATAAATAATAAAAACTTTTTATTGAGTGCAGTCAGTGCACTTCCTGGTCAAAATACATATACCGTATACCGGTTTATATTTGTGGTAAAATAATATTTTCACGAATTTTGTGTCTTTTGCTCCATTGGGAAAATTTTCCACCACAAAATTCTGCATCTCTATTCCCACGTGGTGCAGCCAGCAAGCTAATTGTAAAAAATAATTCTGTGAAATCTTAGAAATGCAAGATTTGTAAAAAAATTTCCTCCGCGGAAATAAACCGGTATAGGGTAATGAGTTTTTGAGAGGTCTGTTGTAATTAGAAATTTGCATTGGTTACAGGTGTATTATGCACAATGCTATGCAACTGGAGCAAGAGGTGTGTGTCAATTGAGTCCAGGAACTGTGTATAAACACTATAGCATGTTATTTGTAACAACAATGAACATACCACACTGAACTGATACATCCTTGTGATCTTTAGTCTGGCCCTGGGCCATGACTATTTGCTCTTTGACTTGGTGTAGCTTTAATTGACGAGCATCAAACATTCTTTTTAAATCCCCTTTCTCGCTTAGAGCAACTTCTTTTTGTTTCTTGAGAGAGGATGCTTGCATGTCTTCCTCTAGCTTCTTTTGCAAGGTAACTACATGTAGATTAATAACAGACAAAGAATTATTAATCATTATAATATTTCAGTGATGTAGTGAAGTCAGCTTGCTTGCACATGCATAATGATGGTGCTATTACATTTTATATATTAGATTTTGATGAAAAGCTACTGGCAAATTACCATATAGCACTATATTTTGACAATTTTGCTCAAAAATTGTAATTGGCATTTTCGAGTAAGTATAACTCTTTATCCAGTAAGATTTAGAGAAATCTGCTCATATTTTTGAAGGCCATGTTCTAATTTACTGAAAAATGCTACCCGCTATCTCTAAAGTGCCAGCACAACGGAACTTGGCTCAACTACTCAATTTTCTTACTTTGAAGCTTCTGTACCTAGTGCTTGCATTTGAGCAACACAAAACAGTTAAGAAAGACTTTTCCAAGTCAAAAATAAAGATCTAGAAGCTTAGAACACGCTATGCTAAAGTTATTGTTCATTAAAGACAAATTTCAGTTGTACAGAATGAATGAATGAATGAATGACAGACACACTCAACAACTACCTATACCTCACATACACTGTTAAAACTGAGGTGTTGGCATACACTCGTGGGTGTCACAAATTTGGGTGTTGTTTACTATTGGGGTGTTGAATCAATCTAGCTTGGTGTTGTTCTATTGAAAGAGGGGTGTTACTACAACACTACAACTTGTGTCAAAGTTAAAGGATAGCCATGACACCCTTACAGGTGTTGCAATAACACTGTATTTAATACAGTGTAGGCGAGGCCAACTATACCTCGAGTAGGCGAGGCCAATTGCCAATCAATTGTGACCCAAATCGGCAAATGGGCATCAACATGTATTAAATTATTAAAATTATAAGTTATTAGAAGTGCATATTAATGGCTTAGTGAGATAGATAGAAAAAGGAAGTACCAGGTAGAACTAGGAAAAATACATGTAGGTATACTAAAAATAGTATACCTATTTTTTCCTAGTTCTAATACCAAGAACTAGAACTAGAACTGAACTGCAATTATACAAAAAAACAAAACTAAAACTAAAATTTGGCAATTAAAAATACTGGAAATATAAAGCTAGAACTACATGCACATGTACACTTTTAAATCACGAGAGCTAAAACTATAGAACCCATTTAATTAACTAAAACTAAAACCATAGAACCATATAGAGCCATAGCTATAATGATATTAGCTAAACTACATGTATATAAGATATAAAAACCAAAGATAATTGAACAATGAACATGTGCAAATAGCATATTCAGGGTACATTTTACAGCTGCATCTCAATTCTTTATGACCTCTCCATAGAGTATGAATAGAAGTTAAAGAATTAAAGCCTCTATAGTTTGGCACAAAACTAAAATAAGAAATAGAGTACTGCACAACACTAGAGCACCAGGGCCAGTGTTACGAATAAATTATTCATAAAGGGCACTTGTTGGCACATATAAATGGAATGTTTGTTACATATAAAATAATGTGCAATGCAATGTACATGTACCTTGTTCATCTGCCACACACTTTTCACAGTAATAGCTTGAGCATTTCTTTAGACACTTTATACACAATGGGTCAAGAGCGGGACGACAGGCTTTATGAACTGGCTCTAATTCTTCTTGCTTGATTGGTTTAGTACAATAAAGACACCTATAGGCTATTAGTAAGAAAAAATAATGCCATGCACAAATATCATAATGCTCTGGTTCTATGTTTTGAAATGCTTGAAGATCTTTAATAATGGTATGAATTGACAAAGGAGATACATTGACTCTGAAATAATCTGACCTTGAAGCTGCTTCATGTATGATTGCACAATGCTTTCAACCTCATCAACTTTATCCTTATCACCAGAAATACGCACACCTCTTCCATCTTTTGAAGGTTTGATAGACAGTCGGTCCTCCAATAATTCATTAAGCTTACACATATACATTGTAATTACATCGACGAGGGAATCATCTTCAAATGTGACCAGCTTTGAAACTGTTGCCTTAATACTGAGTTTGATGCTCATGTCTATACCATTGAGCTGCACTTTGTTAGGGTTACAGGCAGCCTTTGCTTCTTCACTTGACTCAAAATTAACATATGCATAGTCAGGGTTTCCTGGTATTATGGCAGGAGTTTGAAGGACCTCACCAAACTGACTGAAATATTTCTCTAAAGCCTCACCTGTAACCCCATGACCACTAAGTGTTACTTTAACAGTTGATGTTTCTACTTCGTTTTTTTGCAGAGTGATTTTGACCATGGGGCATTGCCCATAAAGCTCCGTTTTTTCTAACGATTCCTTGGCATCTACTGCACCTTTTAGTGACGAAAAATTGACCTTAGCATATCCCCCATTATTAACTTTAAGACTTTGGTAATCCGAATAGTTACCGCAAACAAGTTCCAATTCTTTCTGAGTTATATTTGGTGAAAGATTTGTCACTTTCAGAGTGTATGGCTCTCCTGTAGCTGTAGGAGGTGTGCTGCTGTCTTTCCATTTGTTGCCGGTTCCAGCTGGTCCATAGTGAGAGTGTCCTCGTGGTGATTCTATAGATCGCACATCTCTTTGTGGGGGCAGAAACGGAGGTACAGGAGATTCCGAACTTCTTTCAGTAGTATATCTACGACGTTCCTGCTTCTTCATTACTGAGTCGACTCAAAGAAATCTGGTCGTCCCTAAAAAACGGACCGGACCGGACCAACGGACCATGGTCGGCGACAAATCTGTTTTACGGACCCGAATGGTCCGCGACATCTCTATTTTACGGACCACTTTGCTCACTATACCGGTAATCTTACAGATTCTAAAAATTATAGCTAATGCTTAGGTCAAGATTTACTCTTGCTGAAATCCTGCTTCTCGGTTAGATATAAGCCCAAACCTTCAGATATTGTGAATTTAACAAATTTATTCATGAAGCAACTGTATACAGCCTGAGCCTGGTACTGAGTACTGAACTTGGATGTTGTGCAGTGACTAGTCTACAACTATGGTTTAAATATCTCTTACTTATTTGTGTCACTGTACAGTCTTAATGTGGCAAGCAAATCTTGTTCTGAATTCAGTGGAAAAACGGTTACAAATTAGATATGTAATAATAATTGCAACTTCTTAAATTTGTCAATGACCACATGTGTTGGTACAATTATTGTGGTTGATCATTTTATGCATGAATAACTTTAAAAATTTAAGTCTATACTTGATAGCATAACATGCAGTGTATGTGAAATGTATGCATGCAATAAAGATGAATATACCACTGAATAATGGCCTACTGAGATATTTGTAATGATTATATTCAAGAATTTACATGCACCTTTAATTCATAATAATTATTCAGAATTTTAAATAACAATAACACAAAAACTTTGGTACTTATATCTATCACTGCATAAGTGAACTACACAATAAAAAGATATTACAAGTGTTCATGCAGTTAATTGGTATAATCTGTACTGTCAATACTAATCACTCAAGATCTCCAGCCTCTGACATTATACTACTG